ACGATGAAAAATAGAAACGGATACGTTTTTTACTTACTTTTTTTTTTCTAAAGACATCCATGGTCGCTGACAAGAACGTGTTAAGATTTTGACAAAGAATTTACATTAATGTCTTGATATCATTTTCATCTTTAGTAGTTTTATAGATTCGGGGAATGAAAAACAATTTTTCCAGTAAAGGCCCAAAAACACAGTACGATGGTTGTCATCCACGCACCTGCTTATCATATATTTTATTTATTTTTTGAATATTTTTTTTTATAAGAGCAATAAGCAAAAAATATTAAAGATAAATTTCAGGAGTTGCCTGAATAGCCATAACATCTTCCGTTTTGTTTGTTTGGACACGTAGTAAAACGTTAAAAAAAAGAGCATTCTAAGAAACATTGCAGATTTTAATTTCAAATTAATTTAACTAAATACGGTGTTTATCCACACTGCACATGTATGTAAATATACAGACATAATTCAGGTATAATTACTCCGAAATACTTCAATATAACTATTTAACTAAATACAATGTTTATCCATACTGCACATGTATGTAAATATACAGACATATTTCAGGTATAATTACTCCGAAATACTTCAATATAACTATTTAACTAAATACAGTGTTTACCCATACTGCACATGTATGTAAATATACAGACATAATTCAGGTATAATTACTCCGAAATACTTCAATATAACTATTTAACTAAATACAGTGTTTACCCATACTGCACATGTATGTAAATATACAGACATAATTCAGGTATAATTACTCCGAAATACTTCAATATAACTATTTAACTAAATACAGTGTTTATCCATACTGCACATGTATGTAAATATACAGACATAATTCAGGTATAATTACTCCGAAATACTTCAATATGAACACTTTCATGTCGAAAAACTGTTCCTTTAAACACAGGATATATATAAACGTTTAGAAGTTGATAATTCTGAACAACATTCTAGCATCAAACAACTTGATATAAACCATAACTGTGCTGGTGCAGTAGATACTTTGAACATACTCAGATGGTGATTTATGCGTAAACATGATCACGGTAAAGTGAAATTAGACATGATTCTATTTTTATATTTTACACAGTACTTTTCAATACTAACTATTTACCAGCGTAAAATAAACATACCATAATATATTCCGTAATGTATAGAGTAAATTGGCTATATTATGTGCAATTTTTAATGTGTATAGTGTATATTCTACGAGAACTCTTGATAGGTTAACTATAGACATGGATATTAATGCTTTTATTATACCGGGCGTGACTTAACGGTTATCACATCCGACTATGAATCTGAAAGAGCCATTCGAGATATTGGAAGTTTTAATTGCGACAAGTAATCCTGCTATTCAGTTAAAAGTAGTTACGAAAGCGGAGGATGCTGGTAACTGGTTGTTCTCCCTCTGGACAGCAATTATAAATTATACGCGATATGCCTGAACAATATGGTTTCTGACCAGTGAGCAAATATCAATGTATTACGTTCATATAGTGTTATTTTATTGACTAAGATGATATAAGTTCCTCAACTCCTATAGAACTTGATAGGATTTAGCCAAAAGTTTTCGTTTCAAAGGCTTTTGTAAATATCAAAACGCTATGAAAATCATATTTGGTCTCTGCATACATCTTTTGTTTTACTTTTGTCTCGGAAAATGATAGCCTGATCTCTGTTTAAAATGAACACATACCACAACTGCAATGTTGGTTAGGTTTGTTTGTAATTAAGCATAAAGCTACACAGTGGGCTGTCTCTGATCTGTCCACCACGGGTATCGAAACCCGGATTCTAGCTTTGTAAGTCCGCAGACATGCCACTGTGCCACTGGGGGGGGGGGCATGTTGGTTAGGATGTTAGTAATTTGGATGGAATTTACTCGTAAATTCTCTATTCTATCTTGATATATGTTGGTAGGGTAGAACTTTTCCAAACATACAGATTAATTATCTTAAAAAAAGCACTTATTTCGAAAACTATGTTTCATTTTATGGCATAGCTTATTGTTTCGGTGAAGAGAATGGTTATTACTAAGACAACTGAGGTTCATCACAAACATGGGATAATTTGGCTGTTAGCAGTGACACTGATATTAATAAGCCTCATCTCGTTAGTTCATGGAAATAACACGAAACTACCGAAAAACCGTAAGGAAATCTAATCCTGAACTTAACAAAACAGGGCTACTTTTATAAATAGTTCTTAATAAAGTACGTACAATATAAAATATAATAACGGACAACTATCATATTCAAGTTGAGAAGTTTTATGTGTAGTTAATTCTCTCGGTTATACACCCTTAATATGAAGCTATTGTGAATAATGACTTAACCATTTTTATTATTTTCCAAACGTTTTACATAAAGAAAGATTGTGTTTTGGGAAATATATTTTCCTAATACTGGTTGTAGCGAGGTAAATGTTTCAAAATAAGTCGTATTACTATTTTATCATCTTTAAATAAACATTTTGTGCTAACAAGATAAATACTATTTCGGATATTATCAGATAAAAAAATGGTTGGTCATTAATGAGTAACGAATGAAAAACTGTAATTATCAGTTTCAAAAGCATTTACATTCATATACACACAAAACTTGATTTCGTTATATTAAAATAATTTTGAAGCCTCACCACGTCGTTACATTCTATATTGCTACGTCTGGTCATCCTCTATCTGATCTGACACAACCGTGCATCTAGCATAATTACCATTGCTCAAGGCTTCGTCGTAAGGCTGTCATGTCCAAAGCGCATCACATCTCCTTGCAGGCTTTCCATAATCAATCTAGCGTACGAAGATAACGGTATCCCAACGCCCGTTTCGACAGTGCGATTGCATAGAGATCTATAGGCACTGCGTTTGGCAATTTGACCGATATGTCATCGTATGGAATAGCATGGATATCTGTTTCATTCTCTAGCTGCTTAAGGTATGCGAGGGCTGAACAGAGATGTAGTGAAAGCAACTTGTGTGCATGTGACTTGTTTCGCTTTTCCACACAGAGATCTTTCTTGATTATGTTCCATAACTGTTGTTCGAGGATACGTAGATGGCTTTTGCCACTGATCTGTGTTCATGGATTCTTATCTATTACAAGATACCATACCTTACTTACCACAATTGATCTTTTAGATCTCTTTCTGGATGATTTTGGTATATAAAGGTGATCGATATTCCTTTGTTTTCCCATACCTTTAATTAGAAGGATTATTCCCGTCTTGTAAATTCCAAATATGAGTGTATAAATATTTTGCGTTGGAGAAGACTATTACACTACCTACAAAACGACAAATGACGTAAACATGTAGTTCTGATACATTTCGTTCCGTCGTGACTTTATAGCGGATTTGGATGTTACGTGATTTGCTGATTTGCATATTCAAAATCGTTTTAATATAACACATTCTGCTTTCTGTATATATACACAGATATATATTTATAGTATGCGTTTCTGAGAGTAACTATTATATTTTTACATTGTACCACTTGATAAATTGCATTATATGTTGGTTTGTTATATGTGCTTGAAATATTTTGTAAAAGTTCTTCGTATTTTCTATATCATACTTTTAATTTTTTTTTATTAAAGTATCTTTTGAACAAACAAATTACAAAACGTTTTCTATATAAGTTTTTGAATGAAGAATTAAGCTGGCATTGCTTACAGATGTACGTGAATAATCAATACTTCAACACATTGTCGTTGCACTACTTTGTTCTATCTGATATTAAATTTCTGAAATAGCCCCCCCCCCCCAGTGGGCAGAGCACAGATAGCCCATTGTGTAGCTTTGTGCTTAATTACAAACATTTCTGAAATAGAGACTGCAAACGTTTCTGGTGGAGAATGGTGGAGTTTTCTTTGTTATTAACACAATTTGTAGAGTTTCAGCATATAAACATAAAAAACAAATATTTTCAATGTATTCAAAATAAATGTACTGAATAAAATCTGTTTCAATATCCTTACAAAGCCGTGGAATGACTTTTTGGTACAATTCCTAATTTAACTTCAAAAACTTTCTTCAAAACAAAGTCAAGTTGTTTGTTTCCTTAAATGTGACACCTATAGTGTCTCGTGGATA